AGTTGATCTGTTTATTTCTGACATTGGGGTATTAAGTTCTCCCATTACAATTGTATTAGGGCTTACTGAGTTTTTCATGCCCAATAATATTTGTTTTACCTAGCTGGGTGCACTAGTGTTTGGTGCATATATATTTATTATTTTTCTCTCATCCTCTTGTATTGTTTCTTTTACAAGGATGTAGTGATCTTCTTTGTCTCTCCTTAGTATCTCAAAACTGCTTTGTAACCCCACCAAGTCTGGAGTAGGATTCATGATGGGTAAGGAGTTGATCTTGTGTGAGTTGAGGCTGGTCTTCAGTCAGCAGGTTTTTGGATGTATCTCTCTGGCCCACCTAAGCCTCCTTACTGTGGGTTGTTGTGGTGCCCTCAGACAAGGACAGCTTGGGGCTGCCTCTTGTGTCCTGTGCAATTGACTCTACTTAGTCTTTGCACAGCCTTCTGTGTTTCACCCCCATTGGTATATCTCTATTCTACCCTACTGCCTGTCAGAGGGCAGGGGTGGGTGTGAGGATGCCATTGTGGCTATGAATAGAGCAAAAGGCTGCTATTTTCCCTTCAATCTTCTCTCCAGTGGGTTATGTGCCAAGCTTCTGAGGCTGTTTAAATCCCACACACATGCATCTACATTTTTCTGTCAAGCCACTGGTCACCACTTACTTCTTTTCCCACCTTCACAAAGCTGTGGTCCTTATTGCTGTTGCTAAGTTTTCGAGTTAGATGCCAGGCACAGTACAGAGAAAACAGAGGAGGAGGGGTGGCCCATCTCTCAAGAAGAGAGCAGATTTCTCATTACTCGCCTCTGTATGTGCTAGCAAAATTTGCTACCAGGCAGCAGCATCCTCTCTGTGGAGGAAGACATAAGAGGCAAGAAGATTTTCCCAAATCTATCCCATGTGGCTTGAGTTAACCACACTTTTTCAGTCCATCAGTTTCTTGGAGACTTCTCAGTATGGTGATTCTTGCTTAGTGCTGCCTGCACAGTGGGTAACACTGTGGGCTGATGTACTGTTTTATGAAGTCCCATGCCTATGTTTTATTTGATCTACTAGTCTCTTATTTCAGGTTGATTTTGGCATCGGGATGTATGTCCCTCCCTTTTTTTAAGTACCTGAGTTTTCAGTTGATTTTTCTCTGAGTAGGTCCAATGTGACTCCTCCTCCATTCAGCAATGTTGGTATTTTTCCATAGTGTATTGATGTTATCTGAAACTTTTACTTGAATTATATTCAGACTTCAAAAAATTTGCAAAATAATAAAACCCACACAGAATGCTTGTGTATGGGTCACATAGATTCAAGTATAATGCATTTTGTAGGATATATTTACACATTCACATTCTCTCTGCTTCATATATAATGTAAAGTTTTTCTTATCCATTTCAGAGTAGATTGTGGATCTCATTGCCCTTTTTGTAAAAACAAAGATAGGACTTATGTGTTCACAATAAAATTATAGAAAATAGAGTATCTAACTGTGGTGCAAAACTATTATCAGATCCATGTTGGCTAATCAAAGTTGGCTAATTATCTCCGTAACATACTTGGAAGATTTGGGTTTCTGTATCACAAGATTCACCTAGGATTCACATTTTACTTAGTTAATATATGCCTCTCAACTGCAACATAAGTTTTTTTGTGAGAAAGTACAACTTAAAGCATGCAGACTATTGTCTGAGGACCAGCAGGTGAAAATTTTTCCCACATTGTGGGTTGTCTCTTCATGCTGTCGGTGGTTTCTCTTGTGCAGAAGCTTTTTAATAAGAAGAGATCCCACTTGTTGATTGTTTGTGCTAGTTCACGGGCAGCTGAGGATTTTTTCATAAAACATTTTCCTACACCAATGTCTTTAAGAATTCTACCTAATCTCTGTTCCAGCCGGTTCAGGGTTTCTGTTTTAAAATTTAGATCTTTAATCCATTTTGATTTTAGTTTAGTGCATGGTGAGAGACAGAGGTCTAGTTTTAATCTTTGGCAAGTTGAAACCCAATTTTTCCAGCACCATTTATTAAAGAGGGTATTTTTCCTCCAGTGAGGGTATTTGGCTCCTTTGTCAAAGATGAGGTTGCTGAGTGTGTCTGGAGTTGTTTCTGCATTTTCTAATCTGTTCCACTGGTCCTCAGGTCTGTTTCTTTGCCAGTAGCATGCTGTTTACATCAGAGTAGCATTTTAGTATAGTTTCAAGTTGGGCATTGTAATACCCCCTGCCATGTCTCTTTTACCTAGAATTGCTTTGCTATTCTAGGTCTCTTCTTGTTCCAAATGAATTTTTGTATTGTTTTCTCAAGGTCCATGAAGTTTGATGCAAGAATTTCAATTGGGATTGCATTGAATCTACATAGCAATTTTGCAAGTATCATTATTTTCACTATGTTGATTCTTCCTACCCAGGAGCAGCTGATGTCTTCCCATTTTTTGATATCATCTTCTGTCTCTCTTTTCAGAGTGCTACAGTTTTCAGAGAAGAGTTCTTTGATTTCTTGGCTTAGGTTGATTCCTAGGTATTTCAGTTTTTTGGATGCTATTGTGAAAGGAATTGTTTGCCCTATTTCTCTATCAGTGAGTTTGTTGTTCATGTAGAGGAAAGCTATTGATTTTTGTGTGTTGACCTTGTATTCAGCTACTTCTTAGAATATATAAAGAACTTAATAAAAAATTAGACCTCCCAAATTTAAAGTCCCAATCCAAAAATGGGCATCTAAAATGAACACACATTTCTCAGACAAAGAAGTAGAAATAGCAAATAAACACATGCAAAAATGTTCAACATCACTGGTCATACAAGAGATGCAAATAGAAACAATGTTGAGATTCCACCTCACACCAGAAAGAATGGCTGCTATCATGAAATCAACCAATAACAAATACTGGTGGGGCTGTGGGGAAAAAGGAGCACTGCTCCACTGCTGGTGAGAGTGTAGACTGCTGCAACCACTGTGGAAATCAGTATGGAGATACCTCAAAGAACTAGGATTAGAGGTCCCATTTGACCCAGCTATTCCCCTACTGGGTATCTTCCCAAAAGAATTAAAAGAATCATACCACAGTGATATATGTGCACCCATTGTTCATAGCAGCACAATTTGTAGCAGCTAAAACTTGGCAGCAGCCCAATTACCCATCAACTGGAGACTGGATAAAGAAAATGTCTTTCTTTTCTTTTACAAAATGGAGCACTATTCATCCACAAAGAACAAGAAATAGAGACATTTATAGCTAAATGGATACACATTGAGGCCATACTCCTAAGTGAAATAAATAGGACACACATGTGTAAATACTGAAGTTTCTCTAATGTGAGAAAGTAAAAGTGTAAATAAGGACCAAAAAGTATAATAGATAATGTAAAATAGGAAGAAAAGGGAGAAAGGGGAAGGGGAAGTGAAAGGAGTAGGGGAAAGGAAAGAAGGGAATGGAAAATGGGGGAAAAATTAAGAACCAAGGTATATCATGTAAAGGTATAAGTACCCAATGATAAATGTAAATGTATTGTATACCTAAAATGTACCAAGAAAAGAATCTAAGGGGAAAAAAAGGGAATGGGATTAATATGAGAAAATGAAAAAATGGAAACAAAGTCATTGTAAATAGGGAGGGATGGAGGGGTTGAAGGAGGGCCGGGAATGGGGAAAAAAGGAAGAACCAAGACAGATTACATAAAGGTGCAAATACAATGATGATTGTCATTATATTCTATACCTAAAATGTACCAATAAAATTAATTAAAAAAATAAACCACACAGGACCTTTCTTTAATAGAATGCCGCTCCACAAGACTTGATATAATCTGTTTACATGGATATATTCTGGTGTAGGATTCATGTGTAAAATACATTCATATAGCTAGGAAATAGGTAAGAAAATAAATTTGCATTGGGGAATTATAGAAATCTTGCCTTTGAGACCAAGATCAGCATCATCAGCACTAGTTAAGGGGAAGCTCTTGTTATGATGATAGTGAGAGTATATTAGCCAGCTTAACTACAATGAAATATCTGAGACAGATCAAGTTTAGGGTCATAGGGTTAGTATGGCTCAACCTTTCAGAAGTTTCAGTCAGTGGTTGCTTGGCTTGGTTCTCTTCAGGTCTATGAAAAGAAGATTATGACGTACTTGCCTCACAACAAAAAGATGGTCACTTCCTCGGTAACAGATGCAAAAAAGGGATAAAGGTGTGGCCAGGATCAAACTGTACCCATTCATGATGTTCCTCCAATAACCTTGTACTTCCTATAGGACACCAAATCCTAGAATTCCACTGATTACCAACAGGCAATAGAGTTAGAAATCCATAAATAGATTAATCCATACATAAGTTTGGAGATATCTTGATCCAGTATCCTCCCAATAGCCACAATGGTGAACATCATTTCATTGTGGAGCAAACTTAAACTGATGATGTGCTAGAGGACATTTAAGATCCAAATCATAACATGATTATTTTACCCAGAACATTCCTCATAGTTATGAACTAATTCTAGGTATGAGGAAACCAACCAACAAACACTGATAGAAAAACATTCAAAACAGTATCTGACCCATAATCTTCAAAATAAAAAAATCCTAAGTTTGAGAAACTGTCACAGGCAGGAGTAGCCAAAAGAGATGTGGAGATCCTGTATGATATGGTGCCCAGGATGAAATCGTGGGGCAAAAACAGGTCATTAGAGAAAACTGAGGTAAATATACACAAGGAATTGACTATGTGAGGTTTCCATATTCACTAGCAATTTATGTATATTTGAAACTATTTTATAATAAACATTATTTAAAACATTGAAAAATCTGTTAACAATTCTATGTGATCTTTCTTCTTTTTGAAATTCTAGTTGTCACTACAAACTGGTACTCACATTATTGCAAGAATATTCTCTGAGTGATTTCACATTGCTTAGTAAGCAAATTTTGACCATCAGTCAGTTTCTTTTTATCAGCAAGATAATTTGACAACAAATGAAAATTAAGAATGACCTGTATTAACCAGTAAAATCTGATCCTTCAGCAACTACCAAAAACTCCAGCAAAAGATACAACTGGAACCCTATCATCTCTCTCAGAGTGTTCATCATCATGTCAGATGAGTATCTGTGGTTCAAAGGGACACCTTTCCCTTCTGCCTATATTAAAAGTGAAACAATACAGAAAGTACATGACAAGATCGTGTTTAAAGATGAAGATGTATTAGCAGTTACTTACCCCAAATCAGGTAAGGAAACAGAATCCCAAATGATCTGTTATGAAGTCTATGGCTGTGATCCTAAGGTACTCAACAATAGATGAGATGCTGTCAATAAGCTAGAAAATATACAGGCACATTGATGGGCTGGGGATTTAGCTCAGTGGTGAGGTCACCTGCCTTCCAAGCACAAGCTCCTGAGTTCTATCCCTGGTACCAAAATAAAATTACACATTGGTATCATGGTTGAAGGAGGGTTGTCTAAAGTATTAGAGAAACATATGTTAGTGCAGCCTAAAGCATATTCATACATTTTAATGTCATGGGGAAAGGGATAAAAGAGAATGACATGTAGAAACTTAATCCTGGTAGAAAGAGCATCTAAAGTGAAATAAGAAGAATGGAGGTCAGATGATGTGAGGAAGAAATATTTTCAGGTAGAAGAATGAGCATGGGCTCTGGTCACAAATTGGAAAAGAGCCTATGAAACTCAAAGAACAGAAAGGACATGCATCATTTATTGATGGGAGTGAAGTTGGGAGTAGGAACAATACAAGCTTGGTAAGATTGATGCTGTTGACATGGAAAAGCACATAGTGTTAAAAAGCCAAGGGGAATGGAAATCCCAGGAAAAATATTTCAGGTAATTGTCAAAAGGTAGAATCAGCTAATGTTTGTTAACTAATGGATACTTAAACAAAAAGTGGTATCAATAAAATGACATCAATATGCCTTAAAAATGAAGAAAATTCTGAGATATCATGCAACAAGGATCAATCTTGAGAGTGTATGTGTGAGGAAATGTGTCACAAGAAAACATACAATATGATTCCACTAATCTGAAATACCCAAAACAGTGAAATTTATTGAAAAGAAAGTTGAATGCCTGTGGCCAGTGTTAGGAGTGATATGAATTGTTATTAAGTACAGAGCCTCTTGTTTTTTGTTTTTGTTTTTTTTGGAGTAGGGGGGTGGATTGAACTCAGGATCTTGTGCTCACAAGGCATGCGCAGTGCCACTGAGCTAAATCCCTGGGCCTAGTGCCTCTGTTTTGAAAGAAGAAATTTCCTGAAGCATGGCTTAATAACAATGTGAATATTCTTAATACTATTACCACTATGGGGATGTATGCTGAAAAACTGTTATGATGGTAAATATTATTTATGTGTATTTTTGTGTAATTTTTGACAAAATAGTCACAGTTGAAATGGAAGTGAGTGGATTAACTTTTCTTTCTTTATCCAGGAAGCACCTGGGTGGCTGTGATTCTTGCCCTGATTAATTCCAAGGGCGACCCCAAGTGGATCCAAACTGTGCCCATCTTGGAGCAATCACCTCTCATAGAGTCAGAACCAGGATATGAATTAATAAATGGAAAGGAGAGACCTCAGGTCATCCGTTCTCACCTACCCTTCCACCTAAGTCCAAAGTCTCTCTTCAGTTCAAAGGTCAAGGTCAGTGCCCAATACTGGAGAACTGTTTGTTCAATGCTTCTTAAATTTGAGTGTACTGACTTATCCCTGAGATGTTACTGAAAATCATTCATACATGGTAGGTCAGTTTAAGACTGGATATTCTCAGGCATTAGGTGAGGCTAATTCAGCTATTTTTTAGACGATTCATTAGTACAAAGATGTGGAACATTTCAGCCTATCCTACACAGAATTTAGAAGCAAAGTAACAAGGGAATGGCAGTATCTGAAAAATAAAATTTAAGACATCCTTGAAGGTATGTGTAACTCGCATGCACACACACACACACACACACACACACACTTGCAGATGTTGGATAAGTAATGATGACCCAGTAGAGAGCACAGCCAGCCTGAATTTGAGATTCCAGGAAAGACTTCCTGGAGTAACATCAAAGGAGACTCCAAGTCCAAGTTACTGAGCTGGGTCTTCTACTGAGAGTTAATCGGGTCAGTGGGATTGGTTTGCAAAGAGGAGTGTGAGGCTTGTGGAGTGAGAATAGCAGAGCATGTGCGCGTAGCTAATGTTCTCTGGTGGGTGTGTTGTGATGTAGAAGGTGGGGCGGCTGTGCTGTGTCCTAACAGAGTACACTGCTCCTTGGGCTCAAGTCACTGGGAATCAGCCCTTCCAGGAACTTGGCTGGCTCAGGGGGCGGGCAGATCATGTCAGACCTACATATAATACATCAAGTCCTGTTGCTCTAAAAGACAAATTAGCCAGTCATAATTCAAATTAATCCCTCCTGCCATATAAAGGTGAACCCCCAAACCAGAATTATCTAGATTGTAAGTGGCACATTTACAAATCAATGCCTAAGTACAAGCGACTGCTCTGGAGTCACGGTTGGAGTTTTTTCAGCACTGTATGTTATTGGATAGAGCTGTCTATTAAGACTGTCAACACCGCCAGTCTCTTATTATGCACATAGATCATCTCCAGAGGGGACTGTGACTATCTAGGATGCAACATCCCATGACCATTTAAAAAATAAATTTATTACAAGTTTTTTATTGCATTGTTACATGTTTTGATGTTTTATTATACTACACTGAGGAAAGTAGAAAAATATTCTCTCTATAAAACATCAGAATTGTGCAACACAATGGAATTGCAGCACTAAACTTATATGCATATATCTTATTAGAGAAATTCTTTTGTTGTGGGAAACTGAAGCTTAATCAAAGATGAGGTTAAGAATAATATCCCACATATCACTGATGTAAAATTCAAAGTAAAATTCTGATGTTTGTATTCCAGGGAATCTTGAAAGTGCCTATGGAGGGTGTACACTAGTCTTCAACACTGACTTGATGTGTATCCAAATATGTATACAACACATGTATCATCCATCAGATATAGAAAATTCTTACCTGCCTGGAAATTTCTCTCATGTCCCTTACAATCATTGCCCACTCCTGGTAGAAAACAATTGCTAGTCTACAACTATTACTCCAGCTTGCCCTTTCATGACTTTATATAAATGGACTAATGGCATATAAATTGAGGTATCTGCATTTTTCACCTCCAGTTTGTTATTATTCTAGTAAATCACAATTATACGTACCTGTCACCTTTGAAAACCTTCTAGAAGCTTCCCTTGGTGAGTAGCCTACTACCTCAGGGCAAGACACAAAGTATTCCTTTTCATTTTTATATCGTTATGATAGTGAGTAGTTTAGAGGAACACTAAAATGTATATTTGATTCTTGAATTCTGTGACTAAGCCATTAAAATTAGTCATTGGTATTTGAGAGAGATTTTATAGAATTTCCTACCAATGTTCTATAATGTTTAAGATCAAACAGACAATGGCTGTTTTCAATAGTCATTTCTTCATTTTTTCCATTTAAGGTGATTTATGTCATCAGAAATCCCAGAGATGTTCTTGTGTCTGGTTTTTATTTCTGGAATGCAATTAAAGGTGCTAAAACAGCAAAGTCACTGGAACAATATTTTGAATGGTTCATCCAAGGATATGGTGAGTGTACTGTATATACAGGAGATGAGGAAACTGAGTGCTGTGTTAGAACTCACTAGGGGCCAACTCTACCTCTCCATTTTGCCAACCAGCGAGTCACAGGCTTCATCACCACTGGAACCAGAAAAGCTACGTTTTTCTCTTTTTCTATACAGCTGCAGAACTTACCCCACAACCAATTTCCTCCTTAATTACCCATCTTGGTTATTTTTTCATTCTCCAGTGTTTGCTGCAGTAACAGAGTGTCACTTTTCTTCACTCTCTCCATTTGTTACTCTTGTTTGTTGTTCATTAAGTTTATTGGTACATTTTAGGCATAATATGATGACATTCATCATTGGGAATTTGTAACTTTACATGATATATCTTGGTTATTTTTTCCCCATTCCCCTGCCCTCCCTTTAAGACCTCCACCCTGAGCCATTTACAAAGACTTTGTTTCCATTTTTTTCCTTTTCTCATATTTTTTCCTTTGCATTCTTTCCTTTCTGCTACCCCTCCCAGTTCCCCTTCCCCCTTAGACCTTTTCTTCCTATTTCACATTGTCAATTATACATTTTAATACTTATTTACACCTTCAGTTTCTCACACCAGAGAAACTATTTGGTATTTAAACATGTGTACTATTTATTTCAATTGAGAGTATGGCCTCAATGTGCATCTATTTAGCAGCTATAAATGTCTGTAGTTTCTCATTCTTTATGGCTGAGTAGTACACCCTCTTGTAAAAAAAAAAAAAAAAAAAGACCCATGTTATCTTTATCCAGTCTCCAGTTCATGGGCAAATGTTCTGTTTCCAAGCTTTAGCTATTACAAACTGTGCCACTATAAGCATGGGTGAGCATATATCTCTGTGATATGATTCTTTTAATTATTTTGGGAAGATACCCAGCAGGGGAATAGCTGGGTCAAATGGGACCTCTAATCCTAGTTTTTTGAGGTATCTCCATAATGAATTCCAGAGTGGTTGCACCAGTCTGCATTCTCACAAACAATGGAGAGGGGTTACTTTCTCCCCCAAAGCCCGCTAACATTTGTTACAGATGATTTCCTGATAGCAGCCATTTTTTCTGGAGTGAGGTGGAATCTCCATATAGTTTTCATATGCACCTCTTGAATGACCAGTGATGTTGAACATTTTTTCATGTGTTTCATTGCTACTTTTACTTCTTTGTCTGAGAAATATCTGTTCATTTCAGATGCCCATATTTGTATTGGGTCTTTAAGTCTGGGAGGTTTGATTTTTTTTAATGTTCTTTATAGATTCTAGATAGTAGACCTTTGTACAAGGAACAGCAGGTGAAAATTTTTTCCCACATTGTAGGTTGTCTCTCCACACTGTTGGTGATTTCTCTTGCTGTGTAGAAGCTTTGTAATAAGAAGAGATCCCACTTGTTGATTGTTTGTGCTAGTTCACAGAAAACTGAGGTTTTGTTCATAAAATCTTTTCCTACACTAATGTCTTCGAGAATTCTACCTAACCTCTCTTCCAGCCGGATCAGTGTTTCTGTTTTAATATTGAGATATTTAATTCATTTTGATTTTAGTTTAGTGCAAGGTGAGAGATAGAGGTCTAGTTTTAGTCTTTGGCAAGTCGAATCCTATTTTTTTTCAGTGCCATTTATTATAGAGGCTATCTTTCTTCCAGTGAGGGTGTTTGGCTCCTTTGTTGAAGATAAGATGGCTGAGTGTGTCTGGAGTTGTTTCTGCATCTTCTAATTTGTTCCTCTGGTCCTCAGGTCTGTTTCTTTGCCAGTAACATGCTGTTTATATCACAGTAGTTTTGTAGTATGGTTTCAAGTTGGCAGTTGTGATACCCCTGCCATGTCTCTGTTACCTAGAATTGCTTGTGCTATTCTATGTCTCCTCTTGTTCCAAATGAAATTTTGGATTGTTTTCTCCAGGTCTGTGAAGTATGCTCCTGGAATTTCCATTGGGATTGCATTGAATCTATATAGCAATTTTGGAAGTATGACCATTTTCACTATGTTTATTCTTCCTACCCAGGAGCAAGGGAAGTCTTTCCATTTTCTGATATCACCTTCAATCTCTCTTTTTAGTGAGCTATTGTTTTTAGAGAAGAGATCTTCGATTTCTTGTGTTAGGTTGATTCCTAGGTATTTCAGTTTTTTGGATGCTATTGTGAAAGGAATTGTTTGCCCTATTTGTCTCTCAGTGGGTCTGTTTTCATTTAGAGGAAAGCTAATGTTTTTTGTGTGTTGACTTTGTATCCAGCTACTCTACTTAATTTGGTTATTAATTCTAGAAGATTTTTGGTGGCATTCTTAGGATCCTCTATATAGAGTATTACATCATCTGAAAATAATGACACTTTGACTTCTTCATTTCCTATCTTTATTCCTTTTATTTCTTTCCCTTGTCTAATTGCTATGGCTAATGTTTCCAAAACTATATTGAACAGGAGTGGGGATAGTGGACATCCTTGTCTGGTTCCTGATTTTAGTGTGAAAGATTTCAGTTTTTGATCATTTAGTATGATATTGGCTGTTGGGTTTTTATAGATGGATTTTATCAGATTGAGGTCGAGACCATCTGTTCCAATTTTTTGTAGGGTTTTTATCATAAATGCTTGTTGGATATTGTCAGATGCTTTTTTCTTCTATTGAGATGAGCATATGGTTTTTGTCCTTGGCTCTATTGATATAGTATATTACATTGATTGATTTGCATATGTTAAACCATCCCTGCGTCCCTGGGATGAATCCTACTTGGACAGGTGTATCATCTCCTGCATTCTATTTGCCAGTAACTTATTAAGGATTTTTGCATCTATGTTCATTAGTGAGATTGGCCTATAGTTCTTTTTCGGTTGGGTCTTTCTCTGCTTTGGGGATCAAGGTGATGCTTGCTTCCTAGATTGAATTTGTGAGTATTGCTTCCTCTTCAATTTCATTGAAGTGTTTAAATAGTAGTGGCAGTAGCTCCTCTCTAAATGTCTTGTAGAATTCAGCAATGAAGCCATCAGGACCCAGACTTTTCTTAGTTGATAAGTTTTTAATTACATTTTCAATTTCATTGGTTGATATTGGGTTGTTTAGAATTTTTAGGTCAACTTCGTTCAACTTTGGTAATTCATGCATATCTAGGAATTTGTCCATTTCTTCTGTGTTTTCCACTTTTTTGGCATGTAGGTTCTCAAAGTAGGTATTGATGATCCTCTGGATTTCTACTGGGTCCATTGTAATGTCATACTTTTCATTCCTAGTTGCATGGATTTGGGCCTTTTCTTTCCTTTTTCTGATAAGGTTGGCTAAAGGTTTGGCAATTTTGTTGATTCTTTCGAAGAACCAGCTCTTGGCTTCATTGATTTTTTTGTATCATTTTCTTAGTCTACTTGCATTGGTTTCTGGTCTGATCTTTATAATTTCCTCCCTTGTATGAGCTTTGGGTTTGTCCTGCTCTTTGTTTTCTAGAAGCCTGAGGTTCAGCATCAGATTGTTTAATTGGGCTCATTCTGTTCTCCTAATATGAGTATTCACTGCTATGAATTTCCTGCGTAAGACTTCTTTCATTGTGTCCCATAGATTCCAACATGTTGTACTATCATTGTCATTTAATTGTAGGAACTGCCTGGTTTCTTCTTTAATTTCCTCTATGACCCATTGGTTATTCAGAAGTGTGTTGTTCAATTTCCAAGTTTTTAGGAAATTCTTGTGGTTTCTGTTGCTATTGATCTCCAATTTCATCGCAGTATGGTCTGATAACATAGAGGGGATAACTTAAATTTCTTTGCACTTACTTAAATATATTCTATGAGTGAGTATGTGGTCTATTTTGGAGAATGACCTGTGTGCAACTGAAAAGAATGTGTAGTCTGATTTTCTGTTAAGTTCATTCGTTCAAGAGTTTGATTGAGTTCTAGTATTTCATTTCTTATTTTTATCTAGTTGATCTATCTATTTGTGACAGTGGGGTATTGATGTCCCCCACTACTATTGTATTAGTGGTTACTTGATTTTTCCTGTCTGTTCATATTTGTTTTATATAGTTGGGCACACTAGTGTTTGGTATGTATATATTTAGAATTATCATCTCTTCCTCTTCAATTTTGCCCTTTATAAGGATGTAGTGTCCTTCTTTTCTCTCTTAATCAGTGTTGGTTTGAAATCCACTTGATCTGCAAAGTGAATAGGTACTCCTGCTTTTTGGGGGGGTTCCTGTCACGTGGAGTATTGTTTTCTACCCTTTAACTTTCAGGCTATGAGTTTGTTTTTGAATTAAGTATGTTTCTTGTATGCAGCATATTGTTGGATCTTGGTTCTTGACTCATTCTGTCACTCTATTTCTTTTGATTGGTGAGTTGAGTTCACCTGCATGTGGCTCACCTTCTCAGTGCAGGGGGCACTCTGCTCCTCATCACTGGGGGCAGTTGTATGGTTGCCTGGAAGGTTCCTCCTTGGCACTGAGGGTGGCTCTGCTCTTCAGCGCTGGGGGCGGTGATATGGTGGCCTGGAAGGCTTCTCATGAAATACTTTTTTAGTGGTCTCAAATGAGTTGTGGAGTTAAACTTTTGGGCAAATTTGGAAAAGTTAAGTCATTGGGACACTTGAGGATGAATAAATTCCTTTTGCACTGTGAGGTGGGCATGGACCCTTGGGGCCAGGTACAGTGAGGGATGTTTTGTATGTGGTTTACATGCTCCCAATGATTGAAGTTATGAAGGCTTGGTGTACATGGTGAAAATATTAGGAGGTCATGGAACCTTTGTGACATGGAACTTGATCCAGGGACTGTCCCTCAGAAGGGGTTAAAGTATTTTACCAGAGAAGGTGGCAATGTTCTCTCTGGCTTAGTGCATTAAGATGTAAATGCTCCTCCCCAACCCACCATTGTATTTGCCATGTGATCTCTTATCACACACACAAAAGTAGATATGACAAGTTTTGTTTAAGTTAATTAGCTTGTCTTACCCATTTCACCATATATTTAAGTCATATTATACACTGAAAAAATAAACAACTGTTATTGGACAATTGTTATTGATCAGCTTAATAAAGCTGAAAAGGGGCTGGGGAAGAGTGAAGATTATAAATCCAAGACATACTTTCATAGAGTTTTTTATGATCCCTCCCGCCTCTCTCTATGCAGTGCCTTGGGGATCATGGTTTGAGCATGTTCGTGGCTGGATGTCCATGAGAGAGAGAGAAAACTTCTTTGTATTGAGTTATGAAGAGCTCCAAAAGGTAAAAGCTGTGCTTCCAGTCAGCACATGCCATCTCAGTGCCATCTGCCCTCCCTTAGACATCCCAGACACATGAGTGCCATTTTCCCACTTTTGTCAGATTTTAGTCACTCAAGAAGAGTCACTAAGAGTGAGATGAAGCCCCTGGCGTTAACTGACCTTAATTTTTTGTCGTTTTTATCATTTCATTTTATACCATTGAAAGGGATGTTTGTTTTTTCACTGCACCAAGGAAGAGTGTGAAGATTTTCACCCACACTGGTGTTTATAAACTTTCTGGTGGGCAGGACATGTACTGCTGCTGGTAGAGATGAGAGGGCACTTGCTGGAGGTGGTTTCCCCAAGGCATCACTTTGACTGATAGAAGAGAGGTGAAGGCACAGAACCAGTCTGCATGAAAACTCAGAGAGCCCAAGTGCTACCGAGGTAGGAAAGGCTGCCTCATGCTGCTCAGAACTGATACGGTCTGCAAGTGCAGCTGGATATAAGAAATGATTTCTCATGTTTCCCGTCACATAGGATGTCTGATTGTTAACAAACAATTTTGTGTTAAAAGGAAGTATTAGTTAGGGTTGTAATTATTTCCAACACAAAAACAGTACATTATACATGTCTGAATTGATAGATTTATTTCACTGATCTCATGATTAAAACATTGCATATGTATTATAATGGCACCGTGATAACTCTATAAATACCTATATTTATAGTGTACCAATTCACAATATGACTGTTGATTAAAATGTAAATGTAAGCAGAAACTTAGAAAATGTTAAGTAACATAACAAATGGGTAAGTTTGGCCACACTATTGGAAAAGGAACTTCACATCTTTGTAATAACTTAGAGAAGTTAAAATTTCCATGTGCACAGAATTTGGTCCTACCTAAGAAAACATATTTTCTTATAATTTTGCTCTGGTTAAATTTGTAAAACACTCTATGTTTGCAGTATGAAATCCATTTCTATATAGAATGCATGGATGCCAACCTTAGTTCAGGTGAATGCTCCAACACCTTCTGGTTTTTCCACTTTGGAAGGACACAATAAGTTTATTTTTACTTACTGTCATGATTATGTGTTTCCTTGTTAAGTAGTAAGTGGGAGCCAAGGGATAAATATAAGAATGAAAGCATATGGCCAGACCTGTAATCCCAGTGTTCTGGGATGTTGATGCAGAGAAAAGACAAGTTGGAGCAGAGTCTGGACAACTTAATTGTAGTTATTAAACAAAGTCCGGACAAGAGTGTGTCAGTATGAAACATATGAAAATTATGAAGATATATCTCAGAGAAAAGGAATTGCTTTCAACTCCCAGTACTTGAGAAAAGAATGAAAGCTTAGTAGCCTTAAGAGAAAGGTCTAAAATTTAATCCAGGTCTTTCTGGATCTCTTCTTCCTTATTTTTTTATTCAGAGCATTTCTAACACTTGAAAATTCCAGGTTCTTTCAGTAAGTAATCCAGTGCTCAACAATACTGGGAAATTCTTCATCAAATGCACATCATGTGGCTTCATAATCTCTCTTCTTTGTCTTTTTCTCTGTATTCCTCACCCTGCATCTGGCTCAATCTGTCCTTTCCTTTCTGTCCTACATAATTCCCCTCATCACGCTCCTTCTCCTCCATCTTGTAAAGCACACTCCTTCTTCCCTTTTGGTCCCTGTTGTCCTGCTCTTTCATATCAGTATGGTGGTTCTTTCCTTCCTTAGGACATAAGAGGCACTACACAGAAAATCTGTCAATTCCTGGGGAAGAGTTTAGAACCAGAAGCTCTGGATTTAGTTGCCAAGTATAGCTCCTTCCAAAGCATGAAAGAAAACAAGATGTCCAATTTTTCCATGTTGCATCATGTTATTCTGGATCCAGACTTCTTATTGACAAGAAAAGGTAAGAGGAAATGTTCTGGTTTCAGACTATATCAGAGTACACGGATAACATTCTTGAGCTTAAAAAAGAATGCTAAAAATTAAGGAGTTGAATGTATCAACTTTAATAACTGCAACAATAGGGTTCCCATCTCTGAAGCAAAATATTTGAGTAAAGAACTTATCAGGAGGAATTTTTTTTGGCCTGTGCTATCAGAGATTTCTTTCTGTGATGAGTTTGCCCTATTTCTCTTAGGCCTCTGCTGAGGAAAACCATCATGGCAGAAGGGAGTTGTCACATCTTCAGAGGTACATTTTATCTGGAGTTCATAATCTTCCATCCATAAAAGTATTAGAGTCAAAAGTTTAAAAGGAGAAACAAGATCACTTTAATGGAAAGAAAAGAGAAATAATGAGATAGATAGCTACTTTGTCAGAGTAAGATAGGATTTTTGTTCTTAGCCTCTTTTATTACATGTCAAGAAAAGGACTCTTTCTCTTGAGAGTTGTTATAACTTCATTGGCTGTGTTAGTCTCTGCGACCTCTGATTCAGCCACTGTCCTGTTCTCTGCCTACGTGCACATTCTTGGATAAGCTTTCTTTGGTCTCTTTGTTTTGTCATGGGGACCAGAATGAGGTTTACAGCAAAGTCCCACATTCAAGGCCAAGTTAGCAAAAAGGATTCATGTGAATGTTAGTGTATTAGTATGATGAGAGAAGAGTAAAATGTATATTTATATATGAGTGTGTCATTGTCCAAGTGTAAGTATATATGTTATATACTAAGTGAACTAGTAACATAGCACCCCCTCACCACTTTGTCTCCCTTGTCTCTCTGGAGGTGAAGGAGGAGAGAATTCAGTCCCTGGCACTAAAATGAGCCAGGATGCTCCTTAATTCTCCCTGTTTGTTTTTCTTAGCCAATCTCCCTAGCAGGGGTTTAACTTTTCAATTGCCAGAAACTTCACTAAGGCCTTAACTTTCCCTGCTATCCCACTAACTTTTCCTACAGCAGGATAGTGAAAGCCAAACACCTGGTGGTAGCCTGAAAGCAGAGAGAGGCAGATGTAGAAATGAAAGGAGTCGAGACAAGATACACTTGCAAGGTTCACACCCATATTCTGATCTTCTCATTTAGGGTCCACCTCCTGTCTTTCCTTCACTTCCTCATAATTCTCTCAAATTATGTATCCATCTGTGGATAAATGCTTGACAGTGTTAGTGGCCTAATGATTCTATCACCTTCGAAAGCCCGACTTCAGAACCCCACTGCACTGAAGACCAAGCCACAAACACCTGAGCCTTGATGGACATATATCCAAACTGTATCAATTACAGCTAAGGGAAAGACTGTCTCCTGTGCCCTTATTGGAGGAGCTTTTCACTGTACTGATGGGGGCTCTAGGAACCTGGACTAAGTTGATTTTTAGCCTGAAGGGAGATTTGAATTATGAATGGACATTTGGGGGTACCCCTTGATGATTTACCAATGAGAACTACTCTGATCAAAAAGATTCAAAAAGAAATAACCTACATGAAGTAGCTGAAAGGAGAGACTTTTTTATGAGACAGTGTAAGGAGCTAATAATTAAAGATTTAACATGCCTCTGTCCTTGGCATCAAGAATAATGAAAATCCTGCTTGGAATTTCTTTAAAAATCAAATCTTTCCAAGAATCTTCTAATTTGAATATTTATTTGTTGCTGACCCCTGAAATAAACATATTAAATGGCTTAAAAGAATTTGAGCAGGTCAATATTGATGCTATCTATGGTCCAGGAGAACAGAGCACTAAGACTTAGAAGTTCATTCCTAGACTGAAGCTAGAATAGAAATCGTCCAGCTGAGTTTTGGATTGCTTAGACTCATGGCCTATTTCTTCTCTCTGATTTGTATCCTCTAGAATTGTAATGTCTATGCAGTACTTACATCACCGTTTTATTTTCAAGGAAATATCTTGTCTGGTTTCACAAACATTCACAGTGAGAGAGAAATTTTGCTTCATGATGAATCATATGCCTAGTCACACCCATGTCTGATTTAAGCAAAATTCAGATTAAATTTGTAAGTCAGTGTTAATTTCTACATGTGTTAACACTCTGGAGTTTTGAGGAGGAGAAAAATGGGAGAAGGACATGATTTATAAAAAGGGTATGGAGTGAAGTTTCGTGAGTTCAGTGGTGTTTTCCAATAATTCACCTTGTGAGGTCCATATTTCTGAAAAAAAAAAGGTTTATGTGGTCACCTGTAATCTAATATGACTTATGTCCTTAGAAGCAATTTGAACACAAACTTGTGTTCACAGCGAGAATACTACTTGAAATTGGCCACCTTTGAACCAGGATAAAAGACTCCCTGCAGAGAACAATGTAGCTTACACCCTAAAGCAGAGCATGTCCTCAAGACTGAGAAAACACTTTTCTCTAAGAACACCTAACATGAGAAATTATCCATTCTTATATTATTCTTCTCCTATTAAGGCATCAGATTTTGGTAGAGGTTATTGAATGTTATATTTACCTAATGAGACTGAGAAGTCATGTCTAAAGAAACAAGAGTGTTGTTTAAAGTCAAAAGACAAATAAAGGCTTTGAGAGAGACAAAAGAAAGAAGATGCAACAGAATTGGTGGCATAATTCCATAAGAAGATACATAATCTTATCTTGCTGAGAAGGATCCTCCAGAAGACAGTCATGCTGGACCCTCCTTTTCCTCCAGCTACTCAAGTGATATATTTTGTGGCATAGAATGTCTAGAGAAATTGCCATAATAATAATGGTAATTATTAATTATGGAGTTATTAATTTTGCTAAACTGGTGATCTGACCTCATAAGTAGTTTCTAATTGAATAATCACAGCAATTACATGAAATGTCACTTTTTTTCTTACATTTCTTGAGAGTTACTTCAGGATGTATTATTTTGCTCTGAAAATTACAAAAATGAATGCAGGTAATCATCATTAAATAATATGTCCTCGCATGCTCCCAATTCAACATAAAACCATCATACTTTAAGACTTGAGTATGCTTGGAAAGGAAAGCCTAGAAGTGAATGAATGTAGTTAAATATTTTAAATGGAAACAAAGTCTTTGTAAATAAGGAAGGGTGGAGGGGGTGAAGGGTGCACAGGGAATGGGGAAAAAAATAAGAACCAAGATACGTCATGTACAGGTACAAGCACCCAATGATACATGTAAATGTATTGTATACGTGAAATGTACCAATAAAAGAATTTAAGTAAAAAATAATATGAAAAATAAAAAGGAAAGAAAGAAAAAGTTGTAGTATTATATGTTGCTTTACCCATACTGGTCCTGTGACCTCTATTCTGGAATTTCAATGCAGTTCCAAGATTAATTTTAGAATTTAATGTATCAATTATAAAAACAATATTAATGAATATATAATTCATAAAGTACTGAAAAGCTCTTTTAAAAGTTACCTGACCTTAGGCAAGAGTTATTCTACTGACCCACTTCTAACATATTTGGTGTTCCTTTTCTGCTCTGGATATAGGAATAATATGTCTAATTGTTCTCCATGGAGTCCCTGTACTAACAGTTCTTGGGACAACAATGATACCAAAATCATCCAGAGAAGATGAACAGATTTTAAAAATAAAAGTAAAAATTTGTTCTCATCAGCTGTACATCACTGTGACAAAATCCACGAGATAAAAATAACATTATGTAGTGCAAACATGTAGAAAACAAAAGAAAGGAATGGAGAGGTGGATAGAGGGGAACAGAGCAAAGGGAAAGGAGAAAAACAAGGAATTAGGATGTCTTATGTACATGCACCAATATCCTACAAGGAATATGAACATTATATACTACACACATGTACTAGTAAACTAAAATAAAAAATTTAAAATCCTTAAATAGAAACAAGTTGTCTTTTGATCTGAGGGCTTGATCAACTCAGTGTTCCTGGCAAGAGAGAAAGAGAGAAAGAAAGAGTGAGCAAAAGGAAAGTTGTGAATATCTCCTTTGTGAGTCCAACACTGGGGCCTACATTACTTCTGCAAGGCTGTTTCTTCTAAAATTTCCACCACTTATTGAAAGAACTGATGCAGATAACAAAGCTTCAACAGACATATTTTGGAGCCATTTCCCAAAAAATAGAGTTTTTTGGGTTTTGGAGCAAATTGTGATTATTTCCACCTCTCTCCTACTTTTTTTTTAAATTCTGGAGGATACTACCCAGAACTGAAGAGGCATCCTAGGACTGTGCTTTTTGTTGTTGGTGGTGAACATAAATGGATTGATTAATTAAATATATTAGTATATTGATTTAGTTAAAGTGACATAGGAAAAGAAAACATGAGTTCATATCACTTGATTAACCCAATTAGAACACCACAATATCCTGAAAAACAAATATCAAAATTGATATTGTTGATAGTAAAATGGTAAACATTGTAAACACCCTGAACTCCAATGGAATTCATTCAAAACTTGCTGCCATTGGAACATTTTGGCTTCAATATTTAGAAGCAACAGAAAGCATAGACAAGAGACAGTTGATCTACCCTCAACCATTATTTGTATAATTGTTTGACAAAACTCTTAAAAATATCTTTATAAGCAAGAAATGTGAGCTTAATTGGTTTCCTTCAAAAGTTCTTACATTGAAGTCCAAGCCTTCAGCACTTCAGAATGTGAATATATCTGAGCATGAAGTGATTACACAGATAGGGTGGTTTTTTTTTTGTACCAGGGATCAAACTCAGGTCCTTGCGCTTGCGCAGCAGGCAGCGAAACCACTGAGCTAAATTCTCAGCCCAGCACGTAGATAGTTTTTGAAAATGAGGCCTTTACAGTGAGCCATCATTGAAATTGCCAGGAATCCTAAAAAAGAAGATTAGGACACAGACACAGAGGAAAGACAATGGAAAGACATGGGTGGAAAATGGTCACCAACAAGGAAGGAAAGGGACCTAGAAGAGACCTTTTGTTGGTAACCTTCAGATGGACCAAGACCTTGTGGCAATTTGATCTAAGACTGCCAGCATCTGGAATAGTGAGAAAAAAGTTCTAGTATTTGAAACACTGAGTGTGTGTTATGTTATTATCGCCATCCTTAGCAATTAGGATGCAATGGTTATGGGAGATTTTTTTTCCCCATTAAGTTTATTAGTATATTTTTGGTATACAATACAGTTACATTTATCATTGGGTGGTTGTACCTGTTCGTGATGTATCTTGGTTCTTATTTTTTCCCCACTCCCCTGCCCTCCCTTCACCCCTCCATTGTTCCCTATTTAAAAAGACTTTGTTTCCATTTTTTCCTTTTCTCACATTTTTTCTTTTCCCTTCTTTCCTTTCCTCTACCACTCCACTTCCCCTACTCCTTTAGACCTTTATTTCCTATTCCACAATATCAATTATACATTTTGATCCTCATTACACTTTTAGTTTTTCACACCAGAGAAACTATTCAGTATTTACACATGTGTGTCCTATTTATTTCATTTAAGAGTATGGCCTCAATGTGCATCCATTTAGCTATAAATGTCTCAAGTTTCTCGTTCTTTATGGCTGAGTAGTACTCCATTTTTCCATCTCTTTTGGAGATTTTTAAAAGGAAGAATAAGCAGAAATATAATGAGAACAACTGTCTGTCAGATATGTAGGGTTTTGAATTAGATATATTTAGAATTGTAATTGCCTGTGTAAAAATATGGAGTTCCTCATCTTGAATAGATTTTTGTAGTGCTGGTGTGATTGAGATCTAAAATGTCCCTCAGGACTCTCATACATTTAGAGTCAGGAGTTTTAGAAGATGATTGGATTGTGAGTTCTCCACACATCAGCAGATGCACACACTGAAAAATTCAGCCAACTGAGTTCCCTGTTGAGAGGTGGAGTCTGGTTAGAGCTCAGTCCCTAGTGGCATAATGGGGAAAGCTATATGATCCTCAGCTCCACCCTTCACTCTCTGCTCCCTGGTTACCTTGATGACAACAACCTTCCTCCACAAGACCCTTCTATCATGCCCTGCCTGCATTGGAATCAATGGAATGTGGATTTACCCATAAGCTGAATAAAGTCTCTCTTCCTTTAATTGGTGGTTGTTAGGTATTGTGCTCAGGAGTGAGAAAGTGGCTAAGTCTGGTTTTGGTGTCAGGAGTGAAATCGTCGCTATAAATATTACTTTAGATAGCTTAGAAGCCTTTGGAATTGGTTTGTGAGAAGAGTTTGGAAAGGTTTCAAGGTACTGACTAGAGAAGCGTGGATATGGAACAGTATTAGCCAAGCTTGATGAGGGACTTTAGTTGGAGCTCAGAAGACTAAAAAGCTCATAGAAATCCAGCCAGTGAAGACCCTGGTCAGAAGATTTCTGTTGAGCAAAAGGACTCCACTGACTGTTGCAGATAAGATACTGTCCATTATCTGGTGGCAGAAAATGTATCTATATTTTGTTCATGTCCTGATACCATTGGGAGGCTAGATTAAGGATTAAAGATAACTTAATCTTCCTGAAAATATTTAAGGCAAGGCTACCATGGGCTGAAAGTGTAAGCCAGAATAAAGCTCTCCTCTTTTAGGTTGTGGGTGTCAGGGATTCTGTTCCAGTCCCACAAAACTGACGAAGAGACATGAAAAGCCACACTAATTTTATTGTGACTGTGATGGCTCAAAATGTCTATGCAGTTTCCAAGTAAGCAAGTGAGTTGTGAGTGATAAATGATCATGAAAAATCAATAAGAAAGTTGCCCCAATAATAAACACAATGGTGAAATTAACAATATTAGTGTATTTTATAGAGTATCAATTACAGACTCTAGAATTATATTACTTGTTAGTATATATGTTAGAAGTATCACATTCATTTTCATATAAAATGTTATTAAACTGTATAATTTTATATCCTAATACAATTATTTAACATATAGATGTAACATGCCAAAAATAACTTATGTGATATATGAAATTTAAATGCAACAGTGTAAGACTAAAACTGTAGGGTCTGTATCTTTGGCTTCAAATCCCTATGAGTGATTTACCACTTGGATAACTTCTTGGGAAATTTTCTTGATTCTAAGGAAAAATGGGGATAATGTTAGTAGTGTGCTTATTGTTTTGTTAATTCCTTAAAGTAACTATTGAGTATATTATATATATAATATGTATATATATATATGTATTTCACTCTGAATCTCCTAGTCACCATCAGCAATTTATAAAGGAAATTTTTTACTTTGAAAAATATTACAAATGCATTGTTATACATATACAAAAGGAAAATACATAGAGCATTTCACACAGAAAGATTGCTGAGCGGAGAACAATAGCAAGCATGTGACTATCCCAATTTGAACTGAGTGGTGAGAATGACCTTCACTGATCACCAAAGCTGAGAAACTCAGAAGGTGATTGTGTTTGGAGACAATGTCTTTATTAAAATATGACAGTTAAAAGGAGGCCACTAGGGCAAGCCATAATTTTTAAAAAGTTCAGGTGTCCTAAAAAGAGGGTAGCATCAGAGGGACACAGAGTAAAGATGATGTGAACACAATGGAAAAAGTGGCAACATAAGGAGAAAGAGTAAGGCCTAGAACTGACCCTTCCCTGGCAACCTTCAGAATTAACCAGCCCTCCTGGCACTTGGGTCTCAGGCACCAGCCTCCAGAACTTTGATAAAAATAAATTCGATTGTTTAACACCCCAACTCACTCTGTGGCACATTGTTAATAGAATGACTAGCCACTAGGTTACAATTCTTTTGAGAGTTTCTTAAAGGCAAGAAAAAAGGAGAAATATAAACATATGCAAGATATATACTATTTTGAATCAGTCATGTTTACAACTTCATGTGTCCACACAGAAATATTGCAATCTCTCGTCTGGAGTGATTTTTTAATAGTGAGAAACCACCATAATTTACTGAGATTCTGGTAGCTCAAAAGTTCTTCCTGGTTTACCAGTCATCAGGGGTGTGTGGGTGATAAATGAGCATGAGAAAAATATAATTATTTCATGTTATTCGTGTACATAGTGATGAACCCAGCAGTGGCAATTAACATTTAGAGGGCATCAATTGCATATCCTGGCATTGTGATATATTATTTATTTTATATATGTTGAGATAAAGTTAATATTTAGACATAATTTAACTTATATATACAACTTTATATTCTATTAGCTTGCTAATATATTGACATAACATGCTATTACAATTATGTGACACATAAAGCAATAATGCAATCATGTAAAAAGGAATATGACTCTAGTGTCAGAATCTTGGATTCAAATCTTATTCATCATTTTCTTACTGAGTAACTGCTTAAGTATGTATTTCTCCTTATGTGTAAAATTGGGAAAATATTGGTATAGTAAAATATTCTATTAGGAAAAGTTCCAATAATTATTTATTCAGTATATACTATGTGTATATTACTCTTTCAAAGGGTAAATTTTCAGCAATTTAAAAGGAAAAAATTGATTTTTTTATATTTTGTGAAGCATAACCTACACACATACAAAAAGGAAATACATAGCATATTTCACACAGAATGATTGCTATGACAAGAAATAGAGCCAGTTTGCATGTATACCGTTTGGGACTGAGTGATGAGAAAGCCTCACTGACAAGGTCACATGGGAGGACAGACTGGAAGGAGATAAATCCAAAAGGCAGGAATATATCTGAGAAAATAGGACTTCAGTGAAGGATCATAGAATGAAAATAGCCTGAAATGCAGAGAGTCTGGTGTGTCTCAGGCTGAGTCCGAAGATCCAGTGTAATGAAGGAGAGAAAGTGAATGTGTAGTCTAAGAGATGAAAACAGGAACAACAAGGAATATGATCCCCTGGGTCTGTGAACAGTGAGTGAACACTTTGGCCAAGTTAAACTGGAAGTTGTGGGAAATTCTCAGCCCAAAGAATCTGGATCTTCTGGATCCAGAGAAAGGAGGATGAAGCCTACAATCCTGAGAACAGTTAAACAAAACTAGAAAAAGCAAAGAGACCATTTGAAATATTTCACAGTAGCCACCATGAGAAGTGCTTTTGCTTTGGGAGGAAGGGTAGCAACAGGCATGGTGAGAAGTAGGTGGATTCCAGATGTAGCAAAGATACACCCAGTAGTGTTGGTGATAAATTTTGTCCACAATGATTTGGAGAGAAGGTCAAGAAGGAAGTCATTTGATGCAGGTAGAAGTGTACATGGGTATTGTTACCAAGTGTAACGGGGCACCTCAATCAGCCACTAGTCATTCTACTCTATTAGCTACAGTGTCCCTGTCAGGAAGAAAGTAGCAAAAGGTACGGGAGGGGATGTGCTGTGTTCTGAACTCCCATCACTGCATGTCATCTAAGTGTCTGCATTCTGTTTTCCAGGCATCTCTGGGGACTGGAAGAATCACTTTACTGTAGCCCAGGCTGAAGCCTTTGATAAAGTATACCAGGAGAAGATGTTGGGTTTCCCGTCAGGGCTGTTTCCATGGGAATAATATCCCAAAGTTTTGGATATTAAATGAATATAGATATTTGTCCTCCTTTACATGTGCATAAATTGGGGCAAGGTTCATGGCATAAACCTATTATTCTTTCCCTGAGATTTAAATGATCAAAATTTAAAATCTTTTTTCACTTGATTGTTTAAAATAACCTGAATACCCCTATTCTGTTAGTGGAGTCACAGCTTTTAATAATTGTTTGTAATATTTCACGTACATAGGTACAGAGATAATATTACTAAAATTGTATCCATGTTTTAAAGCAAGAAACAGAATTCTAGAAGCAATTAATGCTGTTTTTCTTCATATCACATGTATCTTTTGAATATATTATTATACTAACTTTTAATAGTATAGTTTCTAATGTATTTTCAGTATTTTATTCTGTGGTGTTTGAACATAAGCAACAATCTGTGGTATCTATGAAGGTCTTTGAAACTAATAAAAATGGCACATAGCACAATGCTTTCACCTTCTTAGAGTTCTATTCGGTACTTTATATGTGAGCTTCATATGTGCTGACACATGGAGTCAAGTTCAGCATTGGATTGAAATGTATGACACGATTTATTTACTTGCTCTCCTAGGAATGACTTTGAGTTTCTTTCTAAAAATTTGTCTCTATTTGAATCATCATTTTGACAGGAATAAAATAAACATAGAGGAGAACCTTCCTAAGATATACATCCATAAGTGAATTTCACAATTCCCTCATTGGCCTCTTGATGAAGTGTTGTCGGACATTTATTCAGTACTTTCATACCAGCATATATTCCTATCTACAAATGAGACAACAAAAGGACAAATGTTCTATGATTCCATTTAGATAAAAACTTATGCAGCCAAAATCATAGACACAGAAAGTAGAATAATGATTCCAGGAGCTGGCGGAGAAATAAGTAGGGTTTTGCCATTTCATAAGTAGAAAGTAGAAATTTTCAATTTTGCAACATGAATATGTAAGAAATATTGACTAAAACAATGAGGATGAGCATTTTAGGTTCAGGATATCAGCCAGCCTGATGTCTGCCCCCTTACAGGTACCTGAATAAAGAACCTATTTTGCACCTGCATTTGGGGCCACTGTATCCCAGGATGCTGGTGCAAGATAACAATTGATTTAGTGAGCAAATCCCAAAGAACTGCACAGGAGAAAGTGGAGCTAACTAGAGATTACCAGGATGACCTGCAGTGTCTCATGGCTCTTCATGAACCGTGGTATAACTGAATTTGATTTTGATATTTGGCCTGCAAGATGCAAATAATGCATTTTGGAAGTCATCAAGAATTTAGAAAAGTTAAATTAGTAGGGATGAGTGCAAACATTTCGTATAAACCAGTAGTGGTGAACCTACGGCACATGTGCTATAGTGGGATGTTTGTTATCATTGAAAGCTCTACAATAATCCATACCACCATACCAATATCTATTAAAACTCATGCACAACTGCCTTTCTTGCTTATCTACTATTCTTATTCAGTTTATCATTAGTATTTTGAAATATCTGAGGCAACATCTTTACGTTTTTGTGAGCTTTTTTGAGACATGTTTTTCTGTGTAGTTCACGCTGGCCTTGAACTTACTATGTAGCCTGTGCTGGCTTCAAAACCCTGGTGATCCTCATGCCTCAGCTTCCCAAGTGCTGAGATCACAAGCACGTGCCACTACACCCGGCCCTTGATTCAACATCTTGATAAAAAACAAATGATGCTTACATGGGCTTAGACTTCTGGAAGTACAAGGTTCTAAGATCATGGTAGAGATCTGGTGAAGGGATGGAGTAAATATGTATTTCTGTAATGCTCTTTTCCTTTCTCTGTATCATACCACTGAAAATGATTTTAAGAATCAATTATAATTTCCTAATTTAAAAAAATCCCTTCTCAAACAGCATATATCCAAACATCACAGTCCAAGTACTTTTCCACCATATAAATACCATTAATTGTTTTACCCCATTTTGGCAAGAGGCAGACACAGCCCCACTGAGCTAAATCCCTGGCCTCCAGCTAGCTCTTTTGAGAATTCTTTTTAGACCTATTCTGGAGGTATTTTCTAGTTAGATGTTTTTCTCTCCAATTCACGTTTCTTTAGCTTTTTTATGAAGGTTGTTCCATAGTTTTTCATATTTGTAAAAGCTATTTATTTTTTCTTTTCTATGAAATATTAGCTCACTATTTTTGACTATTTTCTGCTTGATTTTAGACAATTTTTTCTTGATATCTAGGGGCTTTTCATCAAGGTATTGTGATATATGCAGCAAAGTATTCATAAAATATATTATCTTTCCATGTCGTTCATATTGTTTAAACCATGTAAAATATTTTTTTCATTGTGTTGCAGTTGAATATTTCAAATTTCCAATTTACAGATTCTGGATTACTTTTTATTTTATATATTCAAGGCTTCTTTGAAGACTTAAAATATTGAACTTTTGCATATTAAACTTCCATTCCCTTTTAAAAATAACAATTTTGGAGTAGTTCTCCAGAAATTTCCCAAAACAAATATACCTATCATGTACTGCAAATATGCACTAATAAACTTTGGGAGTTAAATTTTAGCTTGGATTTGGAGAAACAAACTATTGAAATACAATACAGCATTAATGAAATATTCACTGTTATCAATGAACACTGCTGTGCTGACTTGTCCATAGCCCTCTCAAAGTGTGAGCTGAACTTCCCCCATGTATTCAACAGTCTTAAAGAATCTAGGTACAAAAAAATATGGTCCTTAGACTCAGGCAACAAATGGCTCTACTCTGAACCCTGGCTCTTACACCAGAGTTTTGAGCCACACACCCTTATTCCTTTCCCATGCAAATTACATGTACTTCTTTTCAAGAGCCTTGAAGTCTTAACCCATTCCAGCATCACTTCTGAGTCTCAAATTTGTGCATTACTCAGTTTCAGTGAAACTTTATTGACAGCAGGTATGAGTCAGAGTATGGTACACATGGTGCAGTTTGCAAATGTCTCGTTGAGTGTAACATTTAAATATGTTTTAAGACCCGGCACTGTTATGTAGAGGGCCCAGGACTGCCCCCTGCCACCGCCCTGGCACCTAGAACCATTGCTTGGAGGGCCGAGAACCACCTTGTGCCCCGGCACCATCACCTGGAGGGCAGCACCCCCAGTCTATTGTGCAGGCAGTTCTGGTATCTGGATCCTCATTGATGAGTCACCCAGGGCCATAAAGGCCATGGTTATGAGCTCCAGAAGATAGAGCAGAAGTGAACAACAGAGATAGGGCCTCTCTGAGGCTCATTCATGAAAATTGAAGCCCACTGGGAAAGTGAAGAAAATCTCTGCAATAAAAGCACAGTGGACCACAGTGGTCCCAAGTTGGTGGGATCAGCACCTCTCATCAGAACTAGACTCTGTATGGAGGAAGGGCAACTGAAACCTGCAGTAGAACCTTTCAAAATTCAATCCTGAAGGAGGTCAGGGAGCTTAACTTAGGCCTTTCAGCCAGAAATCAGCCTGAATCTCAGTGGACTCTGGCTGGCTTGCTGAGACTAATCTACTCAGATCTGCACACTTCTGCCCACATTGTCTATTGTGACAGCAGAGACATACCCTAAAAGAGGGTTTTTCTTCCTCTTCTTCTTCCTCCTCCTCCTCCTCCTCCTCCTCTTCTTCTTCTTCCTCCTCCTCCTCCTTCTCCTTCTCCTTCTTCTCTCTCTCCCTTGTTCTTCATTTCTCTCCCTTTTTGTTCCTATTCCTGTCCTATTTTGGATTTTTTCTCTCTCTCTTTCCTTCTCCTGATTGTCATTATTTTTATAGGAAGGTGAATAAGGCTTCTAGCTTCCTTATTGCTATTAGTTTGCTCTGTTCTTGTCTTTGTTCCTTCACTCTGTCTCTTCTTATTATTTTCAACAGTTTCCCAAAGTTTGCATGACCTTCCTCTGTCCTCTAGCCTCACTTCTAAACTTTCCCTCTCCTATTTCTCTATCCCTCCCTCCCCAACTCCTTCTACATCCTCATCCTGAAGGCTATATTGAAGGGTTTATTTACTACAAACATATTTTGGGCTGGTCCTCAATTTTGATCTGGTTCATGTGGTTAAAAGTGACAGATTAATATCTACCACAAATTGTCACTTTCTAAGCTGTGGTTGATGCTACTGTTGACACTGATTGTATCACTAGGGCTGAGGTATCATGATTAATCTAATCACTTGTCCTACCTGGTATACTGAAAACAAGACTGCCTAAAAGTCATTAGAGACCCAAAACATAAAAACCAGCTACACCTGGAAGACACCTCTGAGAAGCAATCATTCCTTAAGGCTTCTAAATATAAACAATAAAGATACTCACAATAAGCAATATTGAAATATCAACCCAGGAATTGAACCTGGAATTAGACCCAGGAATTAAAAACAGCACCAACAAAAAATAGATGTGAGAAGACACCTAAACAAGGCACAAACTCAGATTTCCAGCACAGCAAAGGCAAATTCTGGAGACAATGAGGTAGAAAAATCTGATAATCAACCACCTGGTCACCCTGAACTGATAGCATGAGATGTAACAAAACAGATGAACTAGGCTCTAGAAAAATTCAAAACAGAAATAATTTCCCATATAACTACAGAGATGGTGATCAGAATGAAAGACATGATTAGAGACTCTAGAACAGAAACAGATAAAAAAAAAATAGATGAGTTTAGGACAGTGATGTAATCCATGAATGCTCAACATAGGATACAAATGGAAACCATGAACTCCCAACATAGGAAAGAAATGGAATCCATGAAACAGATTTAAACAGATATCCAGATTAAAAACTCTATTCTAAGTATTTGCAGCAGAATGAGCCACTGTGAAGACAGAATATCAGATATAAAAGACATAATTGCAGTTAGTGACCATGAAAAGAGAGACTTCTTGAACATAGTAAGGGACCATGAGAAATCAATCCAGCAGCTGTTAGATGACACAAAGAAGAATAACATAAGACTGATAGTGATATAGGGGGAAGAGATGTAACTCCCAAACCTACTAGATATCAAAAGTGTGAGTTTGTGTTCTCTAAAATCAAAGAATGAATTCCAGGAACAACAGAGGTTAAGAGTAGGAAAAATTTATTGAGAGAAAAAAAGGCTCTGTCAAAGAGAGACAGAAGGGGGACCAGAAAGTGGGTTGCCCACCCACCACACTTTTCACAGATGTTTTATACAGCAAAGCCATGTGGTGAGGCAGGTACAAAGTGGGACAAAACTATAAGACCCAATGGAAATTTACAAGGTGGGCATGAGGTGGGACAAAACCATGATCAACCAATAAGATTATAAGTACAGTCACCCAGGTAATATTGATTAAATAGGGAGTCAAATGGGGGAGCAAGTCACACAACAAGTGTATAAGGATTTTCAGTAAGGGTGGGTGAGGAATACTTCCCGGAAAGGCTGGGTTAAAACCTTGGCTCCCCCACCCAGGTGATTGATACCTATTTAGAATATCAATCAC